TCTATTCCACTTACTCAATATTATATATTTGTTGCTGGTTATAGTATAAAAATAGTATATTATATATATATACACATTAACCCCTACAAAATATGACGAATTGATAATCATCAAAAAAATTTAATTAATTGCTTTTATTTCTTTTCCTTCAACAAAGAGTTTAATAAAGTTAATGTAAAATAAGTAACCTTATATTCTTTCCTTTCTACGAAATTCCACCCAAAACAAAAAAGGAATGTTTTTCGGGGATGCAAAAACTAGGGAAGGGGCCTCTCCCTTGTGGGGGGGGGGGGGGTAATAGGTACACGGATCGGAGAATGGAGGCCACGACATGCAAAAAAACCCAGCTTGCGGTCCCGCGCTCAGAAGCACCGAAGGGCCCCGCCTGTCTCCGCAGAAAGGACATCCTTCCCGGGTGAAAGCTAACGAGCTAGAAAACCCAACCGGCCCTGCGCCGGCAGTGGCGCGCAGCTCAGACCCCGCCCCTCCTCCCTCTCTCAAGGCAGGCGCAGAAAGATCACAAAATGTCACAGGGCCCAGACTGAGCGCGCCAAGGCGGGACCCACCCCCCGGGAGACCGGGACATTTAAGGCTTGTCCCTCCCCTTCCTCCCTCCGCCCAGCTCAAAACTCATTCATTCTTAAGGCGGGCGGCAAATCCTCGCGGACTAGCCACCTCGGCTCTGCAAGCCCACTAGACGCTTTGTCTCGCGCCCCGCCGGAACCTGGGGCGCGCATTGGAGCGCGCGCCCGGGCGTCACCTCCCCGCACCTAGGAGGGCACATTGCCCGGCCCAGCTCGGTATCCAGGATCAGGAAATGTGCATGCAGTCCCACCCACCATCGCTACAATTCAAGCCCCCGCCGCCACCCCTGCGCCCACTAAGAAACACTAGATTCTTTCTCCTTCCCGGAGATGGAGACCCTACCCCTACGGAAGGGCGTGGGCGCGCTGGGCCTCGATCTCCCTCTCCGGGGTTCTCGAGGCCCCGCGGGCTGCGCCCCCAGCCCCTGCGCGTGCTAACGTGGCGGCCAAGCGAGTACTCACTTGAGAAGCAGCTGGTCGTGCTCGGCCTTGAACTTGCCCAGCTCTATCTGCAGCCTGGCGCGCTCGCGGGCAGTGTCGTCCAGCGCGCGCCGCGCATCTGCCAGCTCGGTCTCGTAGAGCGCCTTGAGGCCGGTGAGCTCCCGGCCGCGCACCTCCTCCCGCTCCGTCACCTGCAGCTGCAGCGCGCTGTTCTCCGTCTCCAGGCTGCGCACCTTGTCGATGTACACCGCCAGCCGATCGTTGAGCTCGCGCAGCTCCTCCTTTTCCTGCAGCCGCGACAGCCGCGTGGGGCTCAGCGGCGTGGTGGGAGCGCCAGCGCGGCTGCCTGTGCGCGGCGGCACGGGGGTAGCGGTCGCCATGGCGGGCGGCGGGGCGATCGGCGCGGAGCGGGGAGGCCGCGGGCAGCTCGGGGACACGCAGCAGGCTGGAGGGAGCGACGCCGGGACCGAAGGCACACACCGGCGATCCGCGATGGTGGGAGCGGGGTTACAGCACAAAGGGCAAAGGGGATCAATCAGTCGTAAAATGCCCTTTGTAAGAAAGCACGCGCGCGCGCACCCACACAAACACGCACTAAGGAAGACACCGGGGCAAGAGTGACCGGGAGGGCCGATTTGGGGTCCGCGCGCCGGCGCCTCCGCCGCCTAAATTCTCGCGGCCGGAGCACTTTTGTGTTCTCCCCATGCGGGCCGGGAGGGCGGGCGGGAACGCCGCGCGCGGGTCGGGAACCGGTCTGCCGTCCTAAGCTCTGAGTCACACTATATGGGGTTGATAGCAGATCAAGTAGCGAGAGCGGCGGGGAGAGGGGGGGGAGGAGAG